TCAAATCCTATGTTGGATGAAAGTCCCACGTCAGTTAATTTAGGGAATGATCATGGGTTTATAATCAAGGAATACTCTCTCCATTGGCTGAGGCCTTTTGGGGAATCCCAAAGCAAAGCCATGCCCAACTCAAAGTCATGAGAGCTTATGCTCAAAGTGGACAATATCATACCGTTGTGGAGAGTTGTGTTCATCTAACATGGTATCAGAGCCATGCTCTAAACTTAGTCATGTTAATAGAATCCTCAAAGGTCGAACAAAGGACTCTAAAAGAAAAAGGAGTCGAGCTTATGCTCAAAGTGGACAATACCATACCATTGTGGAGAGTTGTGTTTATCTAACATCGTCAAGTTATAGCATCATTAAAAGTAGTAGGCTACTGAAACTCGTGTATGCATGATTTTGCTCAAGAAGATGAGATGTTTTAATCGAATGTTTCAAAACATAAAAAAATAAAAAATAAAAAATAATAATAATAATGTAGTTTCATGATTATTAATGTTTTCGAGGCTTGTATGGATGTGGATTGCAATATGAGGTGTCCAAAATATGACGTACAATTATGAAACTATGAATTCAGATTGAGCAAAGTGGGAGATTCATGATGATGAAAGTATACTATGAATTTTTTTCAAGCCAATCTAGACTTTTCTCAAGTTTTACTTGTAGGAATCACTTAAAAATCTATATTAACGCTAATTTAAGTAAGAGTTAAGGGATTATGGAATAATAAAGACAACCAAAATTTAAAGTCCAAAACCAGACAATTTTCTCGAGATTCAAGTGACTTTAAAATAACCCTCTCAATGAACTCTGATATCCATGATATTTTAGTAGAAGACTTAGCATGACATGATTAGGCTATGCATGACAAAGGATAAGTGTAAAATAACCAAAATGACTCTAAAGTTACATACCACTCGTTTATGACCCATGTTGTCGCCATATTTAACACTTAAAAGTGTGAATAAATCTGAAATTATTATTACTCAAAAAGACAGTATAGAGAAAATTGAAATATGAAGTGTTGTACTCTAGCTGTCTTTTACTAACTGTAAGACTTCTATTTAAACTGAAATAACTCTTATAAAGACTGAACTGATTTGTACAGAATTACTTACCCTTCAACTAATTTATTTGCAAAAATAAAGCTAACAGACTCCTAAAAATGAATAACTTGACTAATTCAAACTAGCAATAAGTTGCACTAAATTTTGACCGCCTCCCTTAGTGCAAGCTTATTTCTCAATAACTCCGAGAGCCTTACGAATAACTTCAAACTTCACTTTGGCAAGTGCATTAGTAAATATGTTTGCAACTTGCTCATTAGTATGTATTTTCTGCAATTCAACATATTGCGATAACACTTTTTCTCGAACAAAATGAGAATGAGTTTCAATATGTTTCGAACGAGCATGAAACACCGGATTTCCAACAAATTTTATTGCACTTTCATTATCACAATTAATTTGAATTGGCTGATTGAGAGTAGTCACCATTTCTTGAATAAGTTTCCTGAGCCACAAACATTCTTGAGTAGCCATTGTAGCAGCTACATATTCTACTTCACAACTTGACAAAGAAAAAGTGCTTTACTTTTTACTATTCCATGAAATTGCAGCAGAGCCAACGGTAAAACAAAAACCTGTTGTGGAGCGTATGCTGTTCACGTCACCAGCCCAATCAACATCCACAAAACCACTCAAGAAAAATGACTTTGATTTCTCCTATATTAATCCATAATTTAGAGTGCCCTTGATGTAACAAAGAATCATCTTTGTTGAAATTAGATGAGTTTCATGTGGCTGATCCATAAATTGAGACACAACTCCTACTGAAAAAGCAATGTATGACTGTGATAGTTAAATAGACAAAACTACCAAAAAGTTGATGAAAGAATGTACCATCTTGACTTCCCTTCATTTCTAGCTAATTTGAGATTTGGTTCCATAGGAGTAATTTTATCTCTTGAATTCTCTATACATAACGGCTAATAAACTTGCTGCATATCCGTTCTTGAGAGAGAAAATAACCATCACATTTCTTAATTTCCAAATCTAGAAAACAATCAGCTTCACCTAATCTTTTCATTTCAAAACGAACAGAAAAGGCATCTTGGAGACTACTGATTTCAACAATATCATCACCAGTAATAATCATGTCATCAACATAAAATAAGAGCAAGGTGTATATAGTGGCTGTTTTCTTAACAAACAAGCTTGGATAAGAACATGAAGACTTGAAACCATAAAAATTAAGATATTGAGCAATCTTACCAAACCAAGCACGAGGAGCTTGCTTGAGTCCGTACAATGCCTTCTTAAATTTGCACACATAGTTAGGATATTCCTTAATGGTAAATCCTTGCGGCTGCTCCATAAAAATATCACGATCCAACTCTCCGTAAAGGAAAACATTTTTCACATCAAGCTGCCATAATTTCCATCCTTTACTAGCAGCTAAAGAGATGATTGTCCATAATGTTATCATCCTTGTGACTAGACTAAAAGTCTCATCATAGTCTTAACAATATTACTGAGAGAATCCACGAGCAACAAGACAAGCTTTGTGTCTATCAATTCTACCATCAGCTTTTTTCTTCAACTTGTAAACCCACTTACAAGTAATTAAATCGACATCATGAGGCTTTGGTACAAGCTCCCAGGTGTCATTTTTTCAAGTGCTGAAATTTCTTCCATCATTACATTTTTCCATTCTGAAATCCCTTTAGCTTCATTGTACAACTTCAGCTCATCTTCACTTGTATCTCCCATAACAAAACAAGACAGAATAGACAATTGATTAATATCAACTACAAAATAAGACAAATGATCTGGTAACCTTTTTTGTCTTTGGGGATTTTTTCTTGTGGCAACTCCAATATTTGTAGCAGCTTCTGCAGTCTCCTTAGCTTGAATGTCTATCGCAATTGAAAAATCTTTTCTCCCTAATGTATAATCATCAGGAAAGAGTGCAACAGTAGTTGTACTTTTGCTGCCATCTGCATTGTTTTTTTAACTTCAAATTTCATCAAACATCACATCATGAGATACAATAACCTTCTTTGTTTCCAAATCCATACACCTCCAACTCTTTCTATGAGTATCATAGCCAACAAAAATGCATTTCTTGGCCTTTGGGTCAAGTTTAGTTCCATTATGTTTCAGTACATGAACATAACAAATAAACCCAAAAATACGAAAATAACTCACATTGGGTTTACGAAGTTAAATAAGCTCGAATGGTGATGATTCTGTCCCTGGCCATGGAGGCAGCCAATTTACAACATGGCAAGCTGTTTGAAAAGCTGATGCCCATAGCTCTTTTGGAAGACTCCTCACATGCAAGTAAGACAAGCAAACTGATGTAAGATGAGCTAACTTGCGCTCAGACACCCCATTTTGTTGCGGAGTTTCTAGACAAGTCAGTTGACGCTGAATCCCATACTCCTTACAGTATTCCATAAAATCATTTGAAAGAAATTCTCCTTCATTTATCAGTGTGCAAGCACTTGTTTTTCAATTCAAATTCTTTTTCTATAGCAAATTGAATAAATTTTGAAAAAGCTTCACATTTGTGTTCTAAAAAGTATACCTAACTGAAACAAGAGAAATCATCCACAAACACCATCACGTAATGAATGCCGGTATAGCTTGTTGTTCGCATTGGTCCCAAAAGATAAGAATGAATCAATTCTAATACTGTTGAAGCTATACTCTTTGAGCTTGGGAAAGGAAGACGATGAGACTTGCCATATTGGCAGCCTGGACAAATCTCATCATGCTGAATATCTTTAGAAATAAGGACACCATCAAGAAGTTGTTTTGTAGATATTTTTCTGCAACAACTGAAAGCCCTCATGATCCAAACGAGCATGCCAAAGCGTTGAACTTGCATTATGACCAGTTTTCTTGATATATTCATCACTAGCCGATAAAACATACAAAGATTCTATTCTTTTTCCACATAACAGGATATCAGCAGCTAACATGTTTCACATTAGAAAGAATTTGAACATTTTTAGGACAAAAAAGAACATTTTTATTAGTGGGGACATAAAATTATAAACTTCATTTTTTCTCCTTCCGCACAATCAAATTCAAAAGGTGACATTTTCCAAGCGAGGGCATCGAGGCTCATAATATAAGTTCTTACCAAATTACACATCGAATAGCCAAACTACACGTCGAATTGTTTACGGTCAGAAAGACAAAGCAATCTGAATTTATTTATTATATGCTTTGGACCATCTAAAGATGAGACATCAAAATTCAATATTTAGAATATTCTACTTTCTCTCCTAGAATATATATATATATTAGCTTGTGCTAGTCTCGTTTAAATCTTTTTTTAACTATGCAATTGGAGACGGACAACCATGGTTATTAAATAAGGACATAAACGACTGAAGCTGCCAAGTATATTTGGGACCATAATCTAAATAAATAAATTCATAAATGCATAGTATTGTATGAAAAGTGTATAAATAAAATATTTTCAATAATTTGATTACATTTTTTAAATTAGATAATTAATATGTTAACTATTTTATTTTTATTAATTTAGATTATTAAAATAATTTTATGTATTTGTGAATTATTAGGTGAAAAAATGTCCCCAACTCAAAAAATGTAGTAGGAGTATTATATAAGAACTTATCATAAACTTAGTTAGCTACTATTTTAATTTTTAATTTGAGATGGGAATAAGCTTGGAGTTTTATTTAAGAAAAAGGGGCCATAATGTTAAAATATTGGTTCTGTGGGCAAGATATGTATGAACGTTGCTAGCTCTATTAGAAATATTTGCTTATTATTCAACAAATTATCAAAGTTAGAAACACAATTTATTAACAAAGCAACTGAATTAAGAAAAATGGAAGGAGTTTCACGGTTACATCCATCTTTGATCTTTTGAACAAATTTCAACCTATTAATGAGATATATAAGCAACCTTTGGGCTATGCTTCTCTCACCCGGATTCATTAAAGATAAGAAAAAATGGGAAGAACTTTTCTAGCATTGTTTGTGTTTTTATCTCCTTCTGTTTATTCTTTACCGTTGTCAACAAAAGGAAGGTGGATCGTTGATTCGACAACAGGGCGTCGAGTGAAGCTTGTGTGCGTGAATTGGCCTTCCCACACACAGAGCATGCTAATAGAAGGTCTCAACCACAGGCCATTAAAAGAGCTGGCAGATGAGGCAATCAAGTTAAGGTTTAATTGTGTACGACTCACGTATGCAACTCAAATGTTCACTCGTTATGCAAATAGGACAGTTGAAGAGAATTTTGACCTTCTCGATTTAGAGCAAGCAAAAGCCAGATTGGCTCAATATAATCCTTTTGTGTTGAACAAGACTATTGCTGAAGCCTATGAAGCTGTTGTTGATATGCTTGGAGAGAGTGGTTTAATGGTGATTGCCGACAACCATATGAGTCAGCCAAGATGGTGTTGCTCTCTTGACGATGACAATGGATTTTTTGGAGACCGCTATTTTGACCATCAAGAATGGCTACGAGGTCTCAACTTAGTTGCTCAACGCTTTTCCAAGAAATCAACGGTACGTAAAAATTAAGGAAAATTCTCGCACTCTTGAAACTAATGAAAATGCAAATGATTGGAACAATTATGTTACTCAAGGAGTAACAACAATCCACAACATTAACCCAAATGTTTTAGTAATTGTTTCGGGCCTAAATTTTGATAATGATCTCCGATGCTTAAAAGAGAAGCTCTTGAATGTAAGCACCTTAGACAACAAGTTGGTTTTTGAGGTGCACTTGTATTCGTTCAGTGGAGATCCAGAGAGTAAATTTATAAACCAGCCACTAAATAATATTTGTATATCAATGGCTTTGTAGACCATGCTGAATTTGTTAGAGAAGGACCAAATCCATTTCCTTTGTTTGTCAGCGAATATGGGTATGATCAGAGAGAGGTTAACGATGCAGAAAATCGGTTCATGAGTTGCTTCAGAGCTCATCTTGCACAAGAAGATTTAGATTGGGCATTATGGACTTGGCAAGGTAGCTATTATTATAGGGAAGGTCAAGCAGGGCCGGCAGAAACTTTTGGAGTTCTCGACTCCAATTGGACTCAAATTAAAAATCCTAACTTTGTCCAGAAGTTTCAACTGTTGCAGACTATGCTGCAAGGTACGTATAAATATATTAACGATTTTGAATATATAGATCTATAACAAGTGTATAAGAAATTTTTTTTACCGTGCGCAGATCCAAATTCCAATGCATCGTTCTCGTATGTTATATATCATCCACAAAGTGGCCAATGTATCCAAGTCTCAAATGACAACAAAGATATTTTCATGGGTAATTGCTCCATCTCAAGTCGATGGACTCATGACAATGATAGCACTCCAATTAGGATGTCAAGCACTGGTTTATGTTTAAAAACAAGCAGAGAAGGCCTTATGCCATCTCTCTCAACAGATTGCTTCGGCCCTCAGAGTTCTTGGAGAGCCATTTCAAACACTAAGCTTCATTTGGCCGCCATAACTTAAGATGGGAAGAGTCTTTGCTTGCAGGTTGAAAGCTCTAATTCTTAAAAAATTGTGACAAACTCATGTATTTGCACTGATGGTGCTCCAAATTGCCTCCAAGACACCCAAAGTCAATGGTTTGAACTCGTTGAAACCAACACATTGTGAGTTGCTTATGTATTGGGAAGAATAAATATATGACATGCCCGACTTTGAATTGGCCCCTGTTTTATCTCTAATTCTATTCATGCTCGTGCTTAATTATAACCGATTTTATTTATTGTACAAACATATATGAAAGATAATACCAACAATAATGATCGTATAAAAGATTGGACATATAATAAGTAATAGAAAAAATTTATGGACCATTTAACTACGAATTTAAGCATAAAATCGACAACCCTAATATGCGGCATTTTCAAAACTTTCATGCCGACCCTAAATTCAAATTCCAACAACTACTAGTATATTGTACCAAATTCTAAATTCCTATTTTAAACTAATTAATAAACTAAGCAACATTTGTTGGAACAAGTTTGAACCATTGGGGCTGAGGATCATCCATGCAACTTCCCTCGTCTTTAAAGCAAATGCATTTCTTCACAACAACCGAGGTATCAGATTCCTTCTCCAAGAAAAAATTGTCTTCGCCAATTTTGTTGGCCAATTGGAGATTTACTTTTGAAGACACCGTCCAATTGCTTCCATCGCTAGAGCATTCGTCGGATACCACTGGTGCTTTTTCATCTCCGACGGATTTCAAACGCTGCCCGTTTGACAACAACTTCATCGAACTTGCATCTCCACTATGGTTCCATTGGTTCGGAGTGGCACAATCGCCCAGTTCAACTCCTCCTTTGCCGCCGGATTTGACACATTGCCCTGGTATGGGATGTAGCATTATGTATGGTATTGGTGCTTTAGAATTTGGATCAGCAAGAAAAGAGCTTTAGTTTCAAATTCTAACTAAAGAAATATATAAATGTTTGATTTGTTATAATGTTGAGAAGCAACATATTAACCTTGATTCACTCTCTTGATGAGTGGAAGCATTTGTTTAAGTGTTGGGGGTACTATCTTTAGTCTAAGAGTGATCCATAACACCAAAACTTTCATCACGATCTTCATGACACTGTCTGTACATATAACTTCCTTGGAACGCCTACAAGCCCCAATCAATATCCTTCCCGATAATTCGAGCCAAAAAGAATCTCATGAACCGATTCTCAGCCTCGTTGCCCCTCGATTGATTATACCCAAATTCACTAAGGAACAAAGGATATGGATTCTCCATGTCCACCACGAAACCAGCTTCCTGTCCAAACTTCTCCATAATTTCGTTGCATATTATGTTTAATGGCTTCTTCACAAATTTTCTTTCGTTATCCCCACTAAACGAGTAGGGATGTGCCTCCAACGCTACTTTGTTTTGTAAGGTATAGCCTAGTGGCCTTTTCTTTATGTGGCTTAAATCATTGTCATAGTTTAATCCAGAAATGATTAGGAGAAGATTTGGGCTTGTTCTATGGATTAGTAGGCTTCCTTTTCTCAGGTAATAACACCAAGCATCATTGTTTGTAAATGGCCCTCCAAGCTCGTTTCTTAGACTCATTCCTATCACCCTTTACAAAGGAAAAAGAAAAATTAGAATATGATATAAATATCGTGAAAATACACTCATTAAAAATGCATAAAACTCACATGTGGGTTACAAGTGAACTGCACAGCAACAAATGACAAGCCTTGAAGCCATTCATTAGGGTTGAAATTGCGATCTCCAAAGAAACCATTGCCATCATCGAGAGAGCACCACCACCTCGTATTAAGATATGATATTTGGAGATATATTTTAATAATTAGTTAGGAGTATATCTGAGATATTTTCGGAGTTGTCAGTAGTATATTTTATCTTAGATTTGATTAACGTATATTTTATTTATTTACAAGGTTTAGTTAGTTATATATTTTTCCTATTTTTAGGTATTAGTTGATAGTTTGTATCCTATTTAAACGTGGTAAAAATGAATGAAGATCATACTTTCGATCCCAATTTTATTTCTATTACTCATTCTTAACATGGTATCAGAGCACCGATCTTGGTGTTCTTAAATATCAAAATTTCCTTTATGACGGAATCAGCGAAATCCTGCTTCAAAATTTCAGATGTTGATTTAACACATCCTTATTATATTCATCACTCTGATCAGCCACGATATTCACTTGTTCCAATCAAATTAAATGGAGCAAATTACCAATCTTGGAGTAAATCAGTCATGCATGCTCTTATTGCCAAGAAGAAAATTGGCTTCATTGATGGCACAATTGAAGAACCGTCCCAAGATGCAAATTCAACCGAATTTGAACTCTGGAATCAATGCAACAGTATGATAATATCTTGGTTATCTCATTCCGTTGAAGCAGATATCGCTGAAGGCATTATTCACGCCAAGACAGCTCATCAAGTGTGGGTTGATCTTCATGATCAATTCTCACAAAAGAATGCTCCAGCAATTTTTCAGATACAAAACTCGATAGCAACGATGTCACAAGGAACCATGGCACTGTCAACATATTTCACCAAGCTCAAAGCACTCTGAGATGAGCTGGAAGCGTACCGCACACCATTTACCTGTAATCAATGTCAAATACATATTGATCAATGCGAAGAAGACAAGTTGATGCAATTGCTCATGGGGCTCAACGAGTCTTATAAAACGGTGAGATCTAACATATTGATGATGTCTCCATTACCTAATGTGAGGCAAGCCTATTCATATACTTGTACAAGAAGAGATGCAGCGTCAGGTAACTTCTGAACCTGCTGAGAATTTCTCGATTGCATCAGCAGTGCAGAAGAAAACAACATATTCAAAATTCGCCAAGGACAAATCGTGTGAACACTGCAATAAAAGTGGGCATACAATCAATGAGTGTCAAATCCTTAAGTTTCACTGTAAGTTTTGTGATAGAAGGGGACATACAGAAGATCGGTGTCGACAGAAAAATAATTCTTGAAGGACAAGACAAGTCAATCAACACAATAATTGTGGATATCGATCATCTGCAAATATGGCCGATGTTTTTCAGTTGAATACAGAAGAACAGTCACCTAATTCCATTCCAAATTTTTATTCTGAGCAATTACAACTAGCACAAGTCTTATCTGCAATCAATAATCACCCTTCTGGTAATTCTAACAATCATATCAATGTTGCAAGTTTGTTTCCCATATCTACATTATCTATTAACTCTGCAAGTTCTAATTCATGGATTCTCGATAGTGGAGCTACGGATCATACAGTATCAAAATCTTCTGTTATGACTGAACCAAAGGCTGCCGTCATGTCTATAATAAATTTGCCGAATGGAGAGACGGCACGTGTGTCACATACTGGCAATATTTCCCTTAGCCCTAACCTTAAATTAACAACGTTTTATGTGTGCCTTCATTCAATTTAAACCTAATGTCCATCAGCAAACTTACAAATAACTTGAAATGTTATGTCACCTTCTATCCTGATTCTTGTGTTATGCAGGACTTGACTACGGGGAAGATGATTGGCTCGGGTAAACAAGTTGGAGGTCTCTATCATATTTCTTCATCTCCATTCAAATCTTCAGCTCATCAAGTATCTTAGTCATCTGATTTGTGGCATTTACGCCTAGGTCATCCTTCTTTTTCTCGTTTTAAATTTCTAGCTGATCAATTGCATCTTAATAATGCGAGTTATTCTCATAATTGTAGTATCTGCCTGTTAGCAAAACAAACTAGGTTGTCTTTCCCAAGAAGTTCAATAACAACCCATTCTGCCTTTGATCTGATACATTGTGATGTTTGGGGACCACATAAAATTCCTACGCATTCTGGTTTGCGTTTTTTTTCTCACTATTGTTGATGATTTTGCTCAATGTACTTGGGTTTTTCTAATGCAACATAAGTCAGAAGTACATCATTTGTTAATGAACTTTGTTAAATTCGTTCAAACTCAATTTTATACTACTATCAAGATAGTTCGATCAGACAATGGAACTGAGTTCCTATCTTTGCAACCATTCTTTACTTCTTGTGGCAT